GATCACAGACACGTCTGCTATTAACTTCCACTTTATCTGATGCTCAAGTTCTCTTGGCAGGAATGTCTCAGTCTGCCAATGCAGTTGATTAGCTGCCATAAAGTTAGAATACTGTCCCTCTGTGTCAAACTGCCAAAATGTACCTAATGATCTGATTAGCTCCCTTTTCTTCCCTAGTAACTGGGTTCCAAGAGCTGCCTAAGGTAGCAATCTGGCCACTGATATTCTCCCAACTCTCCTCATTCACTTCCCTCTGTGCCCACCAAAAGCTTTTCCTTTTGAGACCTGCCCCCTCAGTTTTCTTCTAAACCTATTATTTTGGAAAAATGCCCATGAAGAGTGAAAAGATAACACATGTTCAGGTAAAACGTGGAGGAACTGATGAAGTGTATCCACCACTCCATTTCTAGCATGTGATGGAGGTCCCCACAGTGCAGAGGTGTGGCCGGTTTCTGAACACAGAGTTAAAATATTTCAGTGGAAGTGGTTTAGAAGCAGGGGTTGGATTCTAATCATAACCGCTTTTTCATTTTCTCAGTGACATTTCTAAACCTGGGAAATGCAAGATCAAGGTGTTAGCCCATTTGGTTCCTGCTGAGAGGTCTCTTCCTAGCTTGCAGATATCTGCTTTGGCCTCTCTTCTTCTTCTTTTTTTTTAATATTTTATTTATTTATTTGAGAGAGAAAGAGCATGAGAAGGGGGAGGGTCCTAGGGAGAAGCAGACTCCCCGCAAAGCAGGGAGCCCAATGCGGGACTCGATCCTGGGACTCCAGAATCATGACCTGAGCCAAAGGCAGTCGCTTAACCAAGTGAGCCACCCGGGTGCCCTTGGCCTCTTTTCTTCTTATAAAGCTATCATTCCCATCATGAAGGCCTCACCCTCAGAACTTAATCTAACCCTAATTGCCTCCAAAGACCCATCTTCAAGTACTATGACATTGGAGGTTACAGCTTCAACTTGTATGAATTTGGAGGGGCAGGGGGAGGGCAAAAGCATTCAGTCCAAAACAGCACCCTGAATGTGCAGGTGTGTCTGAGCCAGTCCATTAACTAGTGAAAGCTACATAACTTGAGAAACCCAGTGCAAAGTGAAGGTGCTTGGCCCTTTATTACAAATACAGGGAAGAGCATGGCTTTTCTTTTTCTTCCATGGTCTCTCTTTTAACCAATAATGGTGTTTTCCATTTTCTCTTTTATCTTGCTCTCTTTGGAGCTCGGGAATAGCCTATAGATAAGTGCAAACATGCACAGGAGCAAAGGATTGCTGTCCTGTGAATTGGATTACTGGTTACAGGTGTGGCTAGAATCAGGGTCAGGAGCATGCCAATGGCAAAAGGCAGAGGCAATCTCTGAGCAAGGGTAGGGTAGCAAGTAACCCAGCAATCATCCTGGGAATATATGCAGAGGGTACAGTAGGTGAGAATGTACAAGTCAGGCTCTAAGCTTCAACACCTGCCCCATTTTCATAAAAGATTTTAATTACAGGGCATAAATGCAAAGATAAAATTGTTTAAAAATTCAAGACGACATTAAACTCTAAGTACGACAGAAATTAAACCCCAACTGTAGGGCCCCCTTTTGAAGGCAGGGTCCTGAGTATTGCAGTGGTCACACACCCATGAAGACTAATGGCATTAACTAAGCCTCTACAGGTCTTACTTTTGAGATATATTGGTTCATTACTGGGAAAGAAAGCAATCAAAAGGACTTATAGGGACCATACCTGCACCAGTCAAGTTTTATTTTTCATAGATTAAGTAGATTGATGTGAAACACCTAAGACACAATGTTAGCATCTGCTTAAGGTTATTGAATTACAGGCTTACAGGGGTTACATTACAAAATTTTATGTTAATTTTGCCTTTTGGATGTAACTCAAAATTTAATCACAATGTTATCAATAAAAAGAACTCAGAGAGTACATGATCACATTTGAGATTATCTATGTGTGAGAAGTAGGTTGGTGCAATAAACAGAGGGAGAAACTGAAAAATAAATGGGAAACAAAATTCTGAGGTTAAATTATCTGACTGATGTCACTTATCTAAGAAAATTGATAAAACTATGAGTAGAAGAGCAATGATCTGACTTGAGAGCCTGGCTCTTGAACACGAAATTATACTGTCCCCCAAAGTGATGATCTGGAATGGTGAAAGAATGAGCTGTGTTAGTCATCACGTGGATTCCTAACACAGCAAGGAACTAAAAGGTTAATGGAAGCCAGCAAAGTGACCAAGAAACCTTACTTTTCCCTGCCTTAATTTCCTTACAAGTCATGGATTTGTAGTCATGACTTGGGACCAGATTAGAAACTAGACTCCTCAGAGACCTTGTTCTTTTTGTTTGTTTGTTTTGGTTTTTTTGTTTGTTTGTTTTTACAAAATTGGCTCTAAGGGATTTTATGTTGAAAGCACCCTCATTAAAGACTGAGCAGGTTGAGACAGAACAGAGACAGGATTCCATCCTGGTGCTGTCTGGTGAGTCTCCCAGCTCACAGGTCATCCTTACTTCACAGTGATGTCTGAAAGAAAAGGGAGGGGTAGGAAAAGAAGAGACATGGGAGAAGTGTGGCAGAAAGAAGACTAAGGCTGGAACTTAGAGAATAAGTAAGATCATGGTCAGAAAAGGCCAAATAATTTCTGTAAAAGAATATGGTCTTTAAATTAAAAATAGAGCTTCCCTATGACCCTGCAATTGCACTACTGGGTATTTACCCCAAAGATACAGATGTAATGAAAAGAAGGGCCATCTGTACCCCAATGTTTATAGCAGCAATGGCCATGGTTGCCAAACTGTGGAAAGAGCCAAGATGCCCTTCAACGGATGAATGGATAAGGAAGATGTGGTCCATATACACCATGGAGTATTATGCCTCCATCAGAAAGGATGAATACCCAACTTTTGTAGCAACATGGACGGGACTGGAAGAGATTATGCTGAGTGAAATAAGTCAAGCAGAGAGAGTCAATTTTCATATGGTTTCACTTATTTGTGGAGCATAACAAATAGCATGGAGGACAAGGGGAGATGGAGAGGAGAAGGGAGTTGAGGGAAACTGGAAGGGGAGGTGAACCATGAGAGACTATGGGCTCTGAAAAACAATCTGAGGGTTTTGAAGGGGTGAGGGGTGGGAGGTTGGGGGAACCAGGTGGTGGGTATTAGAGAGGGCACAGATTGCATGGAGCACTGGGTGTGGTGCAAAAACAATGAATACTGTTACGCTGAAAAGAAATTTTAAAAAATGCAAAAAAATACAAAGGAATATAGTCTTTAGGCTGAATCTATTCAAAGTGGATTTTAGAAAAAACAGTCTGCTCAATATCTAAAGATTAAGAGACAACTGGTATCATTGGAACATGGTTCAAGGTGTTTTAAAAGAATTATCTTATCCTTAAATTAAGGGTTTGGGGCACCTGGATGGCACAGTCAGTTAAGCATCCAACTCTTGATCTCAGCTCAAGTCTTCATCTTAGGGTCGTGAGTTCGGGCCCCACTTTGGGCTTCATGCCCAGTGTGGAGCCTACTTAAAAAATAAATAAATAAGTACATAAATAATTAAGGATTTCATTTTTAAAGGTTTATTTGCACTTATTCTATATTCTATATTCTATATTTTTTTTATTCGCACTTATTTCTATATTCTAGCCAAGGGAACTGAGGTATAGCGATGTGACAGTTCTATAAGCTCACACAGCTAACATGTAATACTTGCTTTCCTTCAACTCTAGAGTGAACAAGTCATGAAGCTGGGTTTTAACACAATTAGTCTGAATGCAGAGTTCATGCTCTTGAGCACTAGTAAGCAAAGTGCCTTAATCAGCTCAAGAAATGATGATTGGAACTATCCCAATGAGGATGGAGATAATTGTACTGATTTTCATGATATTTTTAGAAATACAATCAAGAGTACTTTTTTAATAGGTAGAGAAGAGAAAAGGTTGATGCTCCTATTTCTGAATGGGCCCCCCTGGTTACATGATAACGACATTTACTGAGATTAGACAATAGCGAAAGTAAGATTAAGTTAAAGCTGGAGTTTGGTAGAGGCAGGGTTGAGGATTCAATTTTAGATTTTTTTTTTTTTAATGTTTTGGCAAAAGAAAAGTTAAAAGTAATTGCAATAGGAATTTGGTTTAAGAATCTGAATTTCATACAATTTGGAGTCTTGGAGACTTTGATTCAGGATTCTTCATTATAAAGTTAACTATTAAAGGTGCACCTGGGTGGCTCAATGAATTAAGCATCTGCTTTCAGCTCAGGTCATGATCCAAGGATCCTGGTATTGAGCCCTGCATGGAGTTCCTAGTTCAGCAGGGAGCCTGCTTCTCCCTCTTCCTCTGCCTTCCACTCCTCCTGCTTGTGTTCTCTCTCTCTCTTTGTCAAACAAATAAAATCTGTTTTTTAAAAAAGATAGCTAAACATCTGGTAAGCTACTTAAGCTCTTGATCATTAGATAAGTTATATGTAAAATAAGCAAAATTAATGTTCTTCTTGAAGGTTTTTTTTTTTAATTTAAATATTGGAGATGGTTTTTGCCCAGAGTCTGACAAAAAGCCTTATAAATAATATGCAGTCCCTCAATAATTGGTATTTGATGTTGTGGTTTTCACTATTATTCCCAATAATATTTTATAATAATAATTACTAAATACTAACAGATGGACTAATTTAACAATTTAAAGTAATTTTTAATATTGTGGCATAAATTTTGATGAAACTGTGCGTTTGTTGTATAGTTATTTTTCATCCTGTGTGCTAATCCCAGAGAGTTGTCAATCAGCTGGAATTAATTTTCATCATTATATTTAGAAGCTAGGAGAATCCTAAGTTGGTCAGAACTGAAGGGGGAGGTTCTGTTGGTGATGATTGTGATAATGAGAAAAAGTAGCTAATTAAGTGTCCTCTATTATCTTTAGGTCTCCTACAGGACAGAGACTCTCTGGTAACCTATAGATTGGGTCAACATACATTTCTGAAGACTTATGCCTTACAAAATAGAATGCTCCTTCCCAATGACACCCAATTCCACCTCTTCTCCTTTTTGTTGCTGGAGATCCCAGGAATGGAAACGCTGCACGTCTGGATCGGCTTTCCCTTTTGTGCTGTGTATGTGATTGCACTCATCGGGAACTTCATGATTCTGCTTGTGATCCAGGCTGAGAGTAGCCTACAGCAGCCTATGTTCTACTTCCTGGACAAGCTGGCTGCTGTTGATTTGGGTCTGTCCACAGCTACCATCCCCAAGATGCTTCGGATCTTCTGGTTCAACCTCAGAGAGATCATCTTTGAAGCCTGCCTTGTGCAGATGTTTTTCATTCACAGCTTCACACTTATGGAGTCAGCGGTCCTGTTGGCAATGGCTTATGACCACTATGTGGCCATCCGTAATCCACTCCAATATAGCACCACCCTCACCAACCAGGCTGTTTCTGTGATTCGTTGGGTGTGTTAGTGAGAACATTTATTTTTGTGATCCCATTTGTATTTCTTATCTTGCGATTGCCCTTCTGTGGGAATCATGTCATTCCCCATACCTACTGTGAACACATGGGTCTTGCTCGCCTCTCTTGTGCCAGCTTCCAGATCAACATCATCTATGGCTTATGTGCAATTTGTAAACTAGTCTTTGACATCATAGCCATTGCCCTGTCTTATGTTCAGATACTCCGTGCTGTTTTCCATCTTCCTTCCCGTGAAGCCTGACTCAAGTCCCTCAGCACATGTGGTTCTCATGTTTGTGTCATCCTTGCCTTCTATACACCGGCCCTCTTTTCCTTCATGACACATCGCTTTGGCCGAAATGTCCCCTGCTATATCCACATACTCTTGGCCAATCTTTATGTTGTCGTGCCACCAATGCTCAACCCTGTCATATACGGAGTCAGGACCAAGCAGATCTATGACCGTGTGAAGAAAATATTATTACAGAAACAAGGAAAGGAAAAATAATGACACCTAATACGTGTTCAGTTCAATCTGAAATTTTATGAAACTCAAATCAGAAAGATGCCTTCTCCAAGAAAGTATGTTAAAATATGTATCTACATTGGCTCTATTCTGTAAGTATTCAAATGTATTTAATTTCCATGTCCTTTTCAGACCATTTCCCAACATGCACTGTCGCATCCTCTTTGCCCCTTAAAATTTGATGTAATAGGTCATGTCATTTTTTTCTATTCATCTAAATATCTGATTGATATTTACATACCAACAGTTTTGAATGTATCCATTGCCATTAAATTAGTTGATATTTCATGCAGCTTCTTTTTTCTCTGAATATAATCACTTTCTGAGTGTGTATTTCATAACTGCAAGCTGCTGGGGATAAAATGATGAAGATTCCATTTTCCTTGACTTTATGGAATTTAAAGAGTTTAAAATTAGTCAGCAAACTCAACTTATAAACTTATAAACATCATTTTTTTCTGCCTTTTAATATTTTGATAAGTAAATTTGTCTCCATTTACAAGTATCAAAGACTATTTTTTTTTGCCTTTCTTAAAAGATTTTATTTGTTTATATGACAGAAAGCAAGAAAGCACAAGCAGGGGGAGCAACAGGCAGAGGGAGAAGCAGGCTCCCTGCTGAGTAAGGAGCCCAATGCAGGGCTCGTATGATCTCAGGATCTAGCAAACGAAGGCAGATGCTTAACCAACAGAGATACCTAGGTGCCCCTAGTCTTGCTTTTTTGAGGCAGATTGCTTCTTTCTTAAGATGACCCCCATATTAGCCCTTAAAGGTGCTGTTGACACCCTTCCTGTTAGTGGTGGCAGGTAAGGAAGATGGTACAAGTCACAGAAATCGGTTGCTTTCTTATACACTCATAATGTAACTGAAGAAAGAAATTAAGGAATCAATTCCATTTACAATAACACCAAAACCCTAAGATACCTAGGAATAAACCTAACCAAAGGGGTGAAGGATCCACACTCTAGAAATTACAGAACACTTATGATAGAAATGGAGGAAGAAACAAAGAGATGGAAAAACATCCCATGTCCATGGACTGAAAGAATAAACGTTATTAAAATGTCTGTGCTGCCCAGGGCAAACTACTCTTTTAATGCAATCCCTATGAAAATACCATTGACGTTTTCACAGATTTGCAACAAACAATCCTAAAATTTGTATGGAACCAGAAAAATCCCTGAATCATCAGGTTAATGTTGAAAAAGAAAACCAGGGCGCCTGGGTGGCTCAGTGGGTTAAGCCGCTGCCTTCGGCTCAGGTCATGATCTCGGGGTCCTGGGATCGAGTCCCGCATCGGGCTCTCTGCTCGGCAGGGAGCCTGCTTCTCTCTCTCTCTCTCTCTCTGCCTGCCTCTCTGTCTACTTGTGATCTCTCTCTGTCAAATAAATAAATAAAATATTTAAAAAAAAAAAAAAAAAAAAGAAAACCAAAGCTGGTGGCATCATAATGCCTGACTTCAAAGCCGTGATCAACAAGACAGCATGGTTTGGCACAAAAACAGACACACGAATCAATGGAACAGAGTAGAAATCCCAGCAATGGACCCTCAACTCTATGGTCAACTAATCTTCAACAAAGCAGGAAAGAACATCCAATAGAAAAAAGACACTCTTCAATAAAAGAATATATATTTAAACGAGTCTGGCAACTTTCATATTTTAAATACACTACAAATGTCATGCACATTTGACATAATTATTCTTTTTCTTAATTAAATCTCATGTTTACTATCTTTTACTTCACCCTGAGATACAGATGTTTCACAACAAATATTTTCTTCTTTAGAATTTTTTATTCATGATTAGTAAGTCTTATTTGCTTTGCTTTGCTTTGACTTTATACATAATTTTACAGTTACTTTTCCCATTGTCCTACAGACTCCCCTGCAACTTATCAAATTTTAGTATAAACTAGCAGTCTTACTCTTTTCTATTCATAAAGAATAAAAAAAATTAGTCACTTTTTCTACTTTCTGACTTATATACTACTGTTGGTTTAATTTACTTCTCATAAACTTTGAAACTTACGCACATAGGGTTATTGTTTTGGAAAGTCAACATTCATTCAAATGTTTCCAAACACTTACTATGTCTGTTGTTATTCATTCCTTTTGCATTTTTAAAATTTCATCTGTATTGATTTTACTCATGTTTGAAGAAATAAACGTAAATATTACTTGATGCACTTTTTCTGGTAGTGAGTTTTCTTTGCTTAAAAAATAACACTTTGGGTGGCTCAGTGGGTTAAAGCCTCTGCCTTAGGCTGGGGTCATGATCCCAGGGTCCTGGGATCGAGCCCTGTGTTGGGCTCTCTGCACAGCAGGGAGCCTGCTTCCTTTCCTCTCTCTCTGCCTGCCTCTCTGCTTACTTGTGATCTCTGTCTATCAAATAAATAAATAAAATCTTAAAACAAAAAAAAAGAAAAAAATAACCCTTTGTTTCATCTTCACTTTAAGGTTATTTAGAGGATATGGTATTATAAATTAACAGGGGATCTCCCAGATTTACAGAAATATGACTGATAAAAGTGGTCATTATTTAGCTTGTCCAATGTGATTTTTAAATGATTTTATGTATATGTTATGAAATGATTACACAATCAATTTCATTAGCTCATCCATAACCTCACATAGTTACCTTTTGTTTTTTGTAGTGAGAAAACTTAAGGTTTACTCTAGCAAATTTTAAGAACACAATACAGTGTTATTAACTACAGTTGCCATGTTGGACATTAGATCCCCACCACCTATTCATCTTATAATTGAAAAATTGTACCCGTTATGAATATTTCTCCTCACGAGCCACCCTTCTACTGTCTGGTTCTATGAGATTGACTTTTTTAGATTTTATATAAAAATTAAACCATGTAGCATTTGTCTTTGTGTCTGGCTTATTTCACTTTGCATAAACCCTCTTGGAAAGTTTTCTTTCTTTTTAAGATCAAGTAGTATTACATAGTATTATATTGTTTACATGTACAACGGTTTCTTTATATATTCATTTGTCAGTGGATACTTAGGTTGTCTCCTTATCTGGCTACCATGACTAATGATCCAATGAACTCAGTAGTGCACATATTTTTGAGCCACTGATCTTATTCCTTAAGGTATTTACCAGGAAGTGGAGTTGCAGGATCGTATAGAAGTTCTATTTTTTTTCTTTTTTTGAAGAAACTTCATACTTTTCTCTATAATGTCTGTACCAAAGCTATTCTAGTAAACATATTAAGTCTACTTTTTTTTCAGAATAGTAAAAATAGTATTTAATTCTTAACTGACACTTGTGTTGTCTTTAAGAACTTTGTATCTGATCAGGTTTTCTTTCCTTTCTTTGTTTACAAATTTTCTTATTTATATCTCCCTTTATTTTCCCTTTATCTTTGATCAACTGAAATTTAAATGCAGCTGGTGTGATGTAATATTATATTATAGGCTGGTAACTACTTCAAACTTCTGATGTAAATATTTATACTTATTTTTGTAATTAGAAAGTTGTCATCCATATATTTAACCCTCAACTTTTTCCCTATCATTAAGAATATCTATGGTTTGTTTCCCTCTCTTCCCCCCCCTTCCCATATGTCCCTCTGTTTTGTTTCTTAAATTCCACACCACATATGAGTGGAACATATGGTTTTGGTCTTTCTCTGACTGACTTATTTAGCTTAGCATAATACAGTCCAGTTCCATTGGCAAATGACAAGATTTCATTTCAAGATTTCAAGATTTCATCAAGATTTCAAGATTTTTGATGGATAAATAATATTCTTGTGTGTGTGTTTGTGTATGTGTGTGTGTGTGTGTGTTTGTATGTGTGTACCACCTCTTCTTTAGTCATTCGTCAGTCGAGGGACATTTGTACTCTTTCCATAATTTGGCTATTGTTGATAATGTTTCTATAAACATCGGGAGGCATATACTCCTTCAGAATCAGTATTTTTGTATCCTTTGTGTAAATACCAAGTAATGTAATTGCTGCGTTGTAGGGTAGTTCTCCTTTTTCTGCTTCCTCACCAACATCTGTTACTTCCTGGGTTGTCAATTTTAGCCATTCTGGTTATTGTGAGGTGGTATCTCATCATGGTTTTGATTTGTATTTCTCTGAGGATAAGTGATGTTGAGCATCTTTTCATGTGTCTGTTAGTCATCTGAATGTCTTCTTTGAAAAAAAGGTCTGTTCATGTCTTCTGGCCATTTCTTAACTGGATTATTTGTGTTTAGGGTGTTGAGTTTGATAGGTTCTTTATGGATTTGGGATACATGCTATATGCTATATGCAAATATCTTCTCCCATTCCAAAGTTGCCTTTAAAATTGTGGAATGTTTCTTTAGTTGTGCAAAAGATTTTTATCTTGATGAAATCCCAATAGTTCAGTTTTACTTTGGTTTCCTGTGCCTCCAGAGACTTGACTAGTAAGAAGCTGCTGCAGCTGAGGTAAAAAGTTTGCTGTCTGTGTTCTCCTCTAAGATTTAATGGTTTCCTGTCTCACTTTTAGTTCTTTCATCTATTTTGAATTGATTTGTGTGTAGGGGCCAGAAAGTGCCATTCTTATCATGCCATTATCCAATTTTCCCAAAACCATTTTTGAAGAGACTGTCTTTTTTTCCCACTGGATATTTTTTCCTGCTTTGTTGAAGATTAGTTGACCATACAGTTATGGGTCCATTTCTGGGTTCTCTATTCTGTTCCATTGATCTATGCGTCTGTTTTTGTGCCAGTGCCATACTGTCTTGATGACTACAGCTTTGTAATAGAGCTTGAAGTTCAGAATTATGATGCCTCCAGCTTTGCTTTTCTTTTTCAATGCATTCTCTTAATGATAAATGATCGCATGTCCCTTTCAAGAAGACCAGTGTATATTTGGCTGTTCAGTAGGATCCTTCTTCAGTGGAAGACAGCCTCCAGTTTAGTGGGTTCCAGGTTTCGGAGTGGTCTCAAGATTGAATTCAGGAAACACAGCCTGACAGCAAAAATTCCTGA